AAAATGTTTGCTTGTGGCCGGATGATAACAACAAAGTAGACTAACTTCAATGTCAGAACCACCATATTATATCACAGCCGTTGCCCTGAGTGACGGTTATTCAAAAGTTTCAGTTTTTTCAGGCGAGTAATTGGCAAGCGTAACGAGGCCTTGGATAAATTTTCGTCAGGCCAGTACATTTATATGGGGACGGAGTACAAGCTAAATGTGTTCGTCTTTTCGTACGAGTGAGTAGTGGGTATAGAGGAACGGAGTTGATAAGAAAAGGCTGGTTTAGAGGGCAGGGTTTTGTTGGAACCAGTCTAGGGAAGGAAGGAGGGGGAGGGGAGGGAGACAAACAGAGCGCGGACCAGTGCATGGCGCTAAGTGAATGTGGGCCATGTCAGATGCGGAGCTTGTAGGAGCATCTTTTGTGCACACAACGCCGTCTTCATCCACCCGACAGCGGTCATCTCCGCTGTTGCTAGCAGGCGCTGACCCAGGGACTTTGGACAGTTTGGTGAGACCTTATAGATCACCCGAAAGGCTTCGGTGGGTTCCACAGTATGTTCGGAGTCAACAATTTGCGTCAAAATAGAGCTGTCTATGCTCCTGACTTTACCTTCTCTCAGTCATGTCGGGAGGTGTTCCTTTATCCTTTTGGATAGGTGGCGACTCCTGCGACCAATAGAACCTACTCCACAGAATCAAGTAAAGGAGAAGATGCACATGGAGATGGTCTGAGCTGGCAAGATATCTTTATTTCCCACATGTTAGCCCGGGTTGGTTGAGAATAATACCAATTTTGGTACAGTCTGAAAACAACGAACTAAGTATGAGAGACAGTGTAAGGTGTCTGCCATCAAGAATGCTTCATTTCACACCTGGTAAACCACGTTGATAGGTTATAAAAAGCTCTGTGGAGTTGCAGTGGTTTAGTTATGTAATTATTCCGGAAGCAGACTCAAAAGATGTCATTCGGTTCGACAAGATCGTGCCTAAATTCAATTTAGGCCAACCCCTAGCGTTAACCCTACTAGCTCTAATTCTAGTACCAAACCACCCGACTGAACACCGGTACTAGTAGTAAGTAGATCTCTCAAGTTAACTATCTCTGAAATTTAGTGCAAAGAAAATTTGAATGCGGGGATTCATTTTCCAGTGTACCACTTACTAGTATATCATTAATTTTCTAGGAATATTAAGCAATATTCCAAAATTTCGAGTATTGTGCTCCTATCGTGCTGCTCTAGATTACTTTAAATCAGTCTGAACATCACTTTCAGGCAAGAAACTCAAACTATCGTTGGTGAGCACTCAATCTAAGTAGCAAGTGGGAGTTATCCAAACACCATTCTACATGCATTAAAAAACACTATTTCCTTATCCCGTTACTATTTTAAAGGGGTTTAGGATTTTCCTACTATGCGACACAGATTTAACTAAATGATTCCCCTTCTTGCACAATTTGGCAAACCACTTGTACTTAGAAAAGCGTTCACACGACTGTAGACTAAACAAACATCTCAAAAACTGAGTGAATAAAAACATCGTTCTTTTTACCACTTTTTGAAACAGCACCAAGAGGCTATCATGGTTACGACAACGAAGACAGGCAGATGCATCCCTTCATGGTTGCCAGCGGTCCGGACATCAAGGTCCGCACGGGACTTCAGCATTTCGAGCAGATTGACATCTATCCTATGGTCTGCGCCCTACTGGGTCTCCAGCATCCCAACAAAATCGACGGCCGTCTAGAGCGTGTGATTCCCTTTCTGAAAACCGAACTCTCAAAGGATTTTGTTGAAACCTTTGAAAAGTATGAGAGCGGCATCATTGCTGTTGACTTGTATGGTGTTTCCGCTGTACTACAGGCGACAACTAATGGGAGTCCGAAGTCCTATTTTACTCTAGGATGTGAAACATACCTCATGTCATTGTGTGCTGTAATATATTTTGGGATATTATAA